GAAGAGTACAATAAGATATTTTGGGAGAGACCACACTTGCATGACTTTTATTACAGTTTATTATTATAATTATTCTATTTTATTATTCATTTTGTTGTTTATCTCTTACTGTGCTAATCTAGAAATTTAAACTTTATCATAGGTATTTCTGTATAAGAAAGTGTATGTAAAGGGTTAGCTGCCCTTTCAAGGTTTCAGGTGTCTAGGGGGCACCTTGGAATGCGTTTAACTACAGATGAGGGGAAACTACTGTATAACACACACGCATATGCCATATATCCTAAGGGTCTGCAAGTTCTTGGAGAATTAAAAAACCAGGGGACTTGTTTCAGATAATAATTTTTTAATATGCTTGTATTTGCATTTGTTCAAAGCAATGACTTATTCAAATGACATAATTTAAGTTAAATGCAGAATTTCTCAACATTAGAGGAGATTTCTGTAGTTTGAAAGCTTTCCAGGTTATTCTGTTAGTATTCTTCCCCAACTTTGCACATCCTTTGGCAATTTTTTCATTTTCTGGGTTTATAAATAAAATGAGACCACGTTCTATTTTTACACTTCTCCTGATGCCATGGACAGAAGTACTTACTCCCTACAATTGAGTGGAGGATGAGGAGCTTTATGAAAGGAGTCCCTGATATGTTCAACACTGAGCAATGATTTTGCCCACTAAGAATAGCTGGGGACTGTAACTCTGCTTCCCCGGCTGTTTCCACAGGTTTTAGACATATTCTTGAAGGCATTTGCTGCTACAAAAACATTCTTATGGTCAGAATATTAAACATCTCTCCCTTGCTAAATTACCTTTTAAATCATAAAAAGTTCATGCTCAAGTAGCCAAATGATTTCATGTTTGTTTTCTTTTTCACTTGGTACAACAGTAACAGGAGGAGTTGTTATGTTTAGATGTGGCATAGAATTGTAGCATAACCTGGTCCAACTCAGGAAAACTGTACTGCCTTCTTGGATTCCAAATGATCTCAGCTTTATTTCAAAGGAAATCTAATTCTTCACCCAAGAATTATGGTTGAGTTATACACCTCAGATAATCCAGTTTGATCTCTGTTGGACTTTGGGATCAGGCCAACTTTCTGAAGTGTGTAAAGGACAATCTCTAAGCAACCCAGATGAGTTTCCATATTAGGGCTTTAATAAGGCTACATTATCTGCAGTTGCAATTGCAAAAGATTTGATCACAGAAATAAGTTTGTCACCAGCCACTAGAGGAGAGCCTGAATGACTCTCAGCCCAAAAGGAAGGGTTCTTTTTATTTTTTAAAAGATTTTATTTATTTTATTTTTAGAGTAAGGGGAAGGGAGGGAGAAAGAGAGGGAGAGAAACATCAAATGGTTGCCTCACACAGGCCCCCAACTGGGGACCTGGCCTGCAACCCAGGCGTGTGCCCTAACCTGGAATCAAATCAGCGACCTTTCGGTTGGCAAGCAGGTACTCAATTCACTGAGCCACACCAGCCAAGATGGAAGGGTTCTAAATTGATATGGTTGTACTTGAGGGACACACATCCCTCAAGCACAACCTTTGTAGAGTGTCTTAGGTTTCCTCTTTGACAGCTTTCAGACACACTGATAGCACTAGAGCTGCCTTCAACTTTCAGGAAATCCATTCTCAGTGTAGCAATCAACATAGAATGATGTAAAGGAAACCACACCCAAATCTACTAGTTTTTTGGGAAAGAAACAAAGCAAAAAGTTTTGTTCTTTTATTTTAAAATTTCTTTTAAATTATAGTTGACATACAATTTCTTATTAGTTTCAGGTGTACAATATAGTGAGTCAACATTTATATACCTTACCAAGTGATTACCATAAGTCTAGTAACTATCTGTGACAAGGTGGTGTTCTTAAACTAGTGTAGAGACGCCATTTAAATTGTGTGCGTAGAAGTTGTCATTTAATAAACTTTCTACAAAGTATAACAAAGTATACCTTGTCTGGAATTATGTCTTAACCCCTTTTTTCCTCCTGATAGGATGCTGTCAAGATAGGAGCATCTGTTTTGAGGTTCAGAGAGAGCTTATTTGTACGTAACCTACCACAGCACCTTGTATGGGGCTCTCCCCAACCCCTTTGCCCAGCAGATCAGCTTTGGATAAATCTTCCTTCACCCTCTCCTCTCTCTTGCTTTATTCCCTGGCCAAGCTGTGGGTGTGCTGGTGCCACTTGTGGGGCCACACATACCTCTTTGCCTTTTTGGGTCTTATACCTGTGTCTGGAATTTCTTGGAAATTTATAATGCCTCTTTTGATTGGGTGAGTTTGTAATTCTGGACTTGCCCTTTGTCGTTAGCATTTTGAGTGACTTCTTTTTAAAAAATATTTTATTGTTTACGGTATTGCAGTTGGCCCAATTTTTCCCCTGTGCCCCCCTCCTCCCAGCCTGACCCCCACTTCTGTAGTCAGTCCCTACACCATCGTCTGTGTCTATGGGTCCTTTGACTACTTCATCCACCTTCTTTCAATCCATCACCACCTGCCCCCTCCCTTTTTTCAGCTGTCAGTCTGTTGCATGATTCTATGCCTCTGTTTCTATTTTGCTCATTAGTTTATTTTGTTTTTTGAGGTTCCTTTTATAAGTGAGATCATATGGTATTTGTCTTTCACCAACTGGCTTATTTCACTCTAGCATAATAGTCTCCAGTTCCATCCATGCTGTCACAAAAGGCAGGAATTCTTTCTTTCTTTCTGCTGCATAGTATTCCATTGTATAGATATACCACAGTTTTTTTTTAATCCACTCATTTACTGAGCACTTAGGCTGTTTCATCTTGGCTGTTGTAAATAGTGCTGCTATGAACATAGGGGTACATAAATTCTTTTGAAACTGGTGTTTCAGGATTTTTCAGGGATATTCCCAAGAGTAGAATCATTAGGTCAAAGGGCAGTTCCATTTCTAGTTTTGGAGGGAAGTTTCATACTGTTTTCCACAGTGGCTGCACCAGTCTGCACTCCCACCTGCAGTGTGGTAGGGTTCCCTTTTCTCTATGTTCTCACCAGCACTTGTCGTTTGTTGATTTATTAATTATGGCCATTTTGGCAAGTGTGAGGTGATATCTCATTGTGGTTTTAATTTGCATCTTTCTGGTGGCTAGTGATGTTGATCATTTTTTCAAGTGACTTCTTTTATTTTTTCACATTATTCAAATTTATTTCATTTATATGATACTTTTGATTGCTGCTCTAGATAGTTTTTGTCAAGCTTCAAAATATTTTTTTATTGTTGTTCAGTGATAGATTTCCCCATCCTCCCCATTACTCTCCCCCGCCCTACCCACCCCCCCACCTTCCACATTCAATGACTTCTTTTAAAATGCACATACATACACACATTGTGATGAACTCTTCCTCTTCCCTCCTATGTTACTGCTCCAACTTCCTCCTTCCCTCTACAGCCAGGCTTCTTGAAAGAATAGTCTACACACACACTCTTTCTCCACTAACTCAACTCTTGATCATGTTCCAATGCATTCCAATATGGCTTCGGCTTTCATCACTCCAATTAAACTGTTTTTGCTGAAGCCACTGCAAACCTCCGCATAAACAGGTTTTTAGTTTCTCACAATTTTTCTCATATGGTTTTCTTCATCTGGAATGTCCTTTTCCATGTTGTCAGGGAAGGACTAGTCATCCTCCAAGACGCAATTCAAGTATCGCCTCTCGCACAGCTTGTGTGAAGCCTGCTTTGTTGAATAGATGACAAATAAATGAGTGGTATCACTGCTTTAAGTCATCTTTGACTCTTCCTTCACCCACTGCAAACTGAGCTTCAAAACTCACCAAATTATAATTCAGAAATGTTCTCAAACCCCATGCCTCCTCTGCTTTTCCACCACCAGCTTCTGACTAGGTCGTGTTCATCTCTTCACTAGCGTATTTAATCTTTCTGCCAACATTTTCTCTCTAATCCATCCCCTCCAACCTAACCCCATGACTTCTGTTTAAAAACAAATCTGTTCATGTTACTATTCTTAAAAGCTACTATTGGCACCCTTTGACCCATGGCACACTTGCCCAAACTTATCACGTGGTGTGTGTGTTCTTTCACCACCTGGTATCAGCCCATTGCTCCTGCTGTGATCTAGTGCTCTCACCCATGGTTCACACTCAAAGCCCTTTTCTCCATATTCCTGAACACACTGTTCTTTTTCAACTTTTCAACCATTCAGTATGCCTAGAGACCTCTTCCTCATATCCCACTCTGCTGATAATGTTCAGATTCTGAGTAGTTCTTCTTTTCTGAAGGCTCTAATATAATTTTGTTCATATATGTTTTTTCATAGCCAGCTGAGTACACTGGAAAGCCCTAATCATTGAAAAGATTATGATGCCTTAAACCCCATATGTAATTCAATATTAAAATAATACTAATAAATTTGCAGTTTTTTTCTAGGAGTACTTAACAGATTTTTTCTTTTAAAATAGCAAATGTAAAATTCTTTTAGAACGTTTTATGTTCATTTCCTTGGTGCCTCTGTTTTGATGCTGCTCTAATCTATTATATCATCCACAGCTGTGAGTTAAAAGTAGTATAGCTCAATGGTTAATAAGAGAGCTTTGACATCAGACTGCCAGGGTTCAAATACCAACTTTGCCACTTATTAGCTCTTTGACAGTGGACAAGTTATTGAATCTTTCTGTGCCTCAGTTGTTTTATTTTTAAAATGGTGATTATAGTGGTATCTACATCATTAAGTTGTTTTTTGAGGTTAATATGTAGCAAGCACTGTCTGGTGTATGTGTGTATAAAAGATCTGATATTTATATATATAAAATATGGTATTAATGTAGATTGTATAGAGATTGTATAGAGAAGGGGCATTGGTAATGCCCCTTCTTCCACACTACTGATCTCCTCTGGGATAAACAACCTACCTTATTCATCAATACAAAACCTAGTGCCTGGTGGCTATGCAGGTAGTGTTTCACGAATGCATGAATGATCAGTAGGCAAGTAAATATGACTCCATTGATTCTCTTGCAGACCTCTCTAAGTTTCCTGGGACACCTGGAGAAACAAGCTCTAATAGATGCAGATAATCTGGTGTTACTGGAGAATCTCTGCTCAGCTGTTGTACCTAAACTTACGGAAAAGATAGAAATATATAAAAAAGAGAAAGGTAATTAACTTATGCTTGCTTGCTTGCACCAGACCATGGGAGTTCTTTTTTGTTTGTTTGTTTATTTTAAAAAAGCTTTATTTAAAAATTTTGGTTACATTTTCATTTTTGTTTTAACAAGGCTATGTTTAATCTCTCAGGATTAAAAAAAGATTCTAAAGAATTAAGCAACAAAGGAATATAAAGGGAAGGGCACAACTATCCCATTTTCTGGGGTATAATAACTATTCTAGTTTAACATCTAACTTCAAAACAAAATTAATTTTTATATTTTCTGCATGAAATAATATACATTTCATAATAATAATATAAATCTCATATAAATCATATAAATGAAATACACCACCATCTTTTCAGCTTATTCTAATTTTCAAACACAAAGCTTCATTTTCAGCTTGAAAAAAAACTTTTGCTGACCTTAGTATGTAGTGTGTACCTTACAGAAAATTAACAATGATAACACAGTAATAATGCCACTGATGAAGTCCTCAATTTAGAATTTGGAACATTCTTCCATCAAAGGGCCAGAAGGGGATTTCAGTCCAATGAGTCTGTCTCAAGATCTTCATCTCTTATTTGTTTCACTTGCATTTTCTTTTCAGTAACTGGATTATTGCTTTGAGCCAAAAATGAGATATATTTTTTGTCACTGCAGATTACATGTTGTCTGGTGCTCAGTTTCCATTTGTTCTTCTTGCATTTTCTATCTGCTGCTTCTTTCTCATGTTGGCCTTTGACCATAATTCTTCTATGAGTAGTCTCAAAGTTTCTTCCACCTTTTCTCTTCTTTTCACCTTCTTGGTTATCTCCTTCCTCTTCAGAATCAGAGGTTGATGTAACCCCTGTTTTAGCTAAATTTTTCCTTTTTGATTCAGCTTCTTTCTTCCCCTATTTTTTGTCTGGCTCTTTCCTTGGCTTATCGTCTTTCTTCTGACCCTCTTCAACTTTTTAAAGCTGCTTTTTAGGTTGTTTTTCCTCTTGCTCCTTTTTCTTTCTTTTGTCTTCTTTAGTTACAATGTCACTGTCTGAAAAAACAGTTCTGTTTTGGGTCTGCCTCTTAGTTTTGGAATCTGGACTTCTGTAGCTGCAGGGTGTCCTGTCTTAGGACTTACTTTTAAATTAGCAGATGCTGTTGTTGTCACTGCTCCTGCCTCCTCGGTTTCTACTTGCTTTTATGCATTTGTCTTTCTTCCTCTTCTGGCAGCTTTTGAAGCGGTTATGTCGATTGCATTAGTCACATCCTCATTTGCTGGCTTTTTCTTTGTGGTTAGTATCTTCCTTTGAAACACTAGTTTCTTTTTCTTCAGCTTCAACATCAGTGGATGCATTTGATTGCCTAGTTGATGCCTGCTGACCTGAAAATTTCACTTTTGGACTGTTATCTGTCTCCCATAAACCTTCATTAAAGCCTTTTTGTTTATTTGCTTTTCCTTATTTTCTGAAAAAGCAGTGCCATGAGTTCCAAAAAAGAAAATGGGTAGTTTGTGGGTTGTTTTACAGCTCCATTGAGAACTTCATCTACCTTATCTGGGAAGCACTTTATCTGCCCTTCCATTCTAAATGATAGCTTGATGGATAGAGTAATTTTGGATGTAGGACCTTGCCTTTTATTTCCGAATACTTCTCTTTCTTGCCTGCAAGGATTTATGGGAACTCCTTGGTAGGCAACTGTCTCCTTTTCTCTTGCTGCTTCTAAGATTCTCTCCTTTAGTCTTGGGTAACTTAATTATGATGTGCCTTGGTGTGTGCTTCCTTGGGTCCAACTTCTTTGGGACTCTCTGAGCTTCCTGGACTTACTGAAAGTGTGCGTGTGTGTGTGTGTGTGTGTGTGTGTGTGTGTATTTTGCCAGATTGGGGAAGTTCTTCTGCATTATGTTTTCAAATAAGTTTTCAATTTATTGCTCTCCCTCTTCTCCTTCTGGCACCCCTATGGTTTGGATGTTGGAATGTTTAAAATTGTCCTGGTGGTTCCTAAGCCTCTCCTTATGTTTTCAAATTCTTGTTTCTTCATTCTGTTCCAGTTGGATGTTTATTTCTTTCGTTCCAAATTGTTGATTTGAGACCTGGTTTTCTTCCTGTCACTCTTGGTTCCCTGTATATTTTTCTTTGTTTCACTTTGCATAACCTTCACTTTTTCCTCCATTTCTTTGACCATACTCAACCAATTCTGTGAGCATCCTGGTTGCCAATATTTTGAACCCTTTGTCTGATAGGTTGATTATCTCTTCCTCACTTAGTTCTATTTTTTTCTGGTGTTTTGATCTGTTCTTTCATTTGGGCTTTTTTTTTTTTTTTGTCTCTGTGTCTGTTACATAGTAGGGGCAGAGCCTTAGGTATTTGCCAGGGTGGGGCAACTCACATTGCTGTGTTGTAATGCTGTATATGGGGGAAGGGTCCGAGAGGGAACAGTGCTGCTTGCTTGGCTCTCAGCTGGCTTTCAGTCACTTCCCCTGCTACCCACAAGTAAATTCGGTCCTTCTGGTGCTGATTCCTGGGTGGGTGGCTTTGTGTACCCAATTCTAGGACCCCATGAGTCTCTCCAATGAAGTTTCCTGTGAGGATGGGAGTCTCTCCCATCACTGCAACACCCACGGATTTTTACAAAGTTTTTGAGGCATTCTTTTCCTGTGCTTGGACCCTGGGTTGCTCGGTCTGTCTCAGTCCCCAGTTGTTTTTTCTGGCTTATCCACACGCAAAAGTGGGACTAGCTAGTCTACCCAGTCTACCAGCCACCGCCTTGGGGACCATCCTCTCTGCTCCAGCTGTGCAACTCAGGCCCTCCTATTGGTCTGGACAAATGTTTCTTCTTTAACTCCTTGGTTGTTGGACTTCCATACAGCTCAATTTTCTGGTAGTTCTGTTTTTTTTTAAATTTGTTGTCATTCTTTTGGTAGTGCAAGGAGGCAAAGTATATCTACATATGGCTCCATCTTGGCCAGAAGTCCCCTTTATTTCTCTTTCAATCTCGAGATAACCAATGAGGATAACCTTTTATCTTGGCAAAGATGTGGTTTCCAGGTTTAAAATCATGAGTCCATGTTTCATGAGGGGCAATGACAGGGATTTGGATCCAAAGACCAGCAAGGAGGTGTGGAGTATGGACGGTGCAAGGGATACAGCAGGACCGATTGGAACGGAGGTTCTGGAGGTGGGGCAGGAGCCCGAGGATGCCTCAGGGTGTTCTGATGCACCTGCCATGCTGTAGACACTGAGGCTGCGGTGGCAGGCTGGCCACCACTGCCAGCGTCCATGCAAGCCACCTGTGCTACCAACTCCCTGTAGAAGTATATCAATGGCTCAGAACAGCAAGCACTGCCATCACCGTCGCTGTTCTGCTCCAAACCACGGGAATTCTTAAACTAATCTGTCATGTTATAATTGGTCATTCTAATAACATTCTCTTGGGAAAGCCAGAACTCTCCTGAATTTGTTTATCCAACTCATTTATTGAATGCATACTTTGTTTGCATTCAAACTAGACATAGTTTTAGAAACTCCTCTTAGGAACTTACATTCTAGTGGGAGAAAGTAGTTTTAGACAAATATCTTTTCATTGTTATGTGAAATGAGAGTATAGGAAATTGGTTAGAATGAAATAACAAAAAAGGAGGCAGGGTAGCATAAGGGCTATGCTAAGGAGTCTGATCACCAGAACTCCATGTATTAGTGGTGCAGAGGGTCCTTTCCTCAGGAAAGACATTTCATGTCTTACTTTTCCGGTCTATAAAATGGGGATAATGATAGTACTCTCCTCATGGTTTTTTTCAAGGTATCAATTTGATAATTCATATAAGATGTATGTCTAGGACAAAGTAAAGCATTCAATACATGTTGCTATGAATATGTTTGTCAGAGAAGAAAGTCATGAAAACTTTCATATGGTATACTCAAATTCTGTCAGAGAAGAAATTTATTATTATTATTTTAGTCTGTCCTGTAAAAGTGTTATTGCTTTGGTATTATATAAAGCAATATAATGCTTTATATTATACCAATGGCACAGAGCAGAAGTGAAACCTGGCTGCCTCGCCAAATACCAATCTGTGAAAATTTGTGTTTTTATGACTCTATTTTTCCGCTGTTAAACAATAGCTATCAGTAACCACACCCATATTTAAGTTCAGTGAGTCAACCTAGTGTGCAAATTTCTCTGCTTAAAAATGAAACTAGCCAAAAGGAAACTTCTCTCTAAAAATTCTACAAATGCAAAATGAATTGTGGAATAAAATATATTGTTAAATTGATAAAATCTCAAACCATAACTAAAGCAATGAATAAATGTACAATTTAAGTAAAAGTTATGAATAATAAAAATAGGTTTCTAACCATCAAGGTTTCAAGCAAAATAAAAAGCAGGAAGTTGATGTCGAAAGTATATTTACAATCCTCACTGAACTCTGATCACTGAGTTTTTTTCCTATGCACGTTGCCATTTTCCTGTAATGTACCCACACAAAGTAAACATAGGGTAGGTTGTCAGATTATTTTGAATATCTGAAGTCTGCAGAAGTCACTCTAGTTTTTATGTATAAATGCCTCCATGAGTCTTGGGGACTGAGCTTCATATCAGAAAAATTCTAATTTTGATTTTTCTTTTCTACAACCTACCTGCTGTGTGATCTTCTTTGAATGTTGAAAAAGAAAAAAAAGAAACTCTTGTTTTCCTCTACTACTGTCATGCCAACCCTTCTGGAACACTTTTGATCCCTGAGTTTTTCCACACCAAACAATTCTCCAGTTCTCTGCAGACACCTACTGGATGTCCTACATTTAACTCAATTTTGACACTAACCAAAGTTAGCGCAGACCCTAAGGTCTCAGGACCCCAATACTGACCTACACTTCAGACGCCAATTACAATTAGTGGGACCTCAAATTACAGCATCTTTCCTATTTGGGTACAATCTGGTGGTTCTCATGGTCCCCACTCTGGTTCAATATTTTGGTAGAATGACTCCAGACTCAGAAAAACAGTTCACTTACCAGATTGCTGGTTTATTATAAAAGAAACAGCCAAATGAAAGAGATGTATAGGATAAAGTATGGGGGAAGGAACACGGAGCTTCCAGGCGCTCTCCAGACAGTTCATCTTCCTCACACCTCCTCCCATTCACCAACCCAGAAGCTCTCTGAACCTCTTCAGTTAGGGATTTTTCGGGGGGCTTCAACTGCAGGTGTGATTGATTGAATCATTGCCCATAGTGATTAATTCTACCTTTAGTCCCTCTCTCCTCCTAGAGGTCTGAAGGAAGATTCTTCCAATCACATGGATGGTTCTCCTGGCAACCTGCCCCCATCCTGAGTCTGTCCAGGAGGCTCCAACCACCAGTCACCTCATACACATATGAAAGACATCACTTCATACAGATTTCAGGAACTGTGTGCCAGGAAAGGGAGCAGAGGCCAAATATATATATTTATTGTTATATTATAGGTGTCAATTGATAGTTTAATAGTGACTTTCTACAGTTCTAAGAGTTTGGGCTTAATTTAGCCAGTGAGAATGAAGGACTAGAGGACTGAAAGACAGTAGCTATGTGGATTTTAGACTTCTGCGAGTGAGTGTGAGCCAAAGACAAAGTCTAGTGTATCCGACTAAGACACAAGCTCCCGTTTGCCATTTGCCATAGGTGGCCATTTGCCAGATATAGAATAAGTGACAAAGCAAATAAAAACAGCAAGAAAATCACAGCATATTCCTAACATTTTAATAACTTCTGCTTGTAATTATCTTCTGTGATCTGGAACTTTTTTTTTTTAACCTAAAGCTGGAGTTCTTGCAGTCCTTGGCCATCTTCAGGCTGCTACCCATTTCTGTAAAAGTCTGGTTCTGGTATACCTCAGAGGCAACTTTCTTTATAGAGACGGAGTATTTCTTCTTCCAAGAGTCTTCTCTTTTCTTCAAGTTTCATGCTCTCTTCTTGGTGAACACTTTTAAGATACTCAGATTTAGCCTATACTTCTCTTTTAGCTTCTTCCAGAATGGCTTCTTTCTCTTTTATTCGCTGCACAAACTTCTGTTTTGTTTCTTCCTTCCTCTGATGTTCGCCATAAAATTTGCATCTTTTGGTTTTGTAGGTCTCTTGACGACTGAGTGGCTTATTTTCTGGGCCCACATGCCTATTTGTTCCAGTTTGAAAGCCTGTAAAGTTCATAGTGCTTAGTGTGGGCTTGTTCTCCCAGATCCTTCATGTACATACAAAGGAGCATTTCCCAGAGCTTTACAAAGTCACAGTGGTTTTCAGTTCCCACTTGTACAACACTCCAAAGGTACTGGTGAATTTTGGCCCTCTTATTTCCAACTTTTAACTTATCCATACTTTTGTCAACTGATGATCATTGGTGCCAGTTTGAGGCCAAGAGGAATCCCCAAACTGGGGTATGGTGAAGAAGGAAACTTTATTCAGTGCAAACAGCGGTACAGCATGGCTGTGAAAATAGTGTCACATCACAGCTGTTAAAACAGCAAGGCTCTGAGGCTGCCCCTGGGGCCCGATGGCCCTGGGGTCAGGCCTTTGTCCAGCTAGGCAGCTCCGAGATGGTCTGTTACACTCTTCGCTGGTCTGTTCTGCTCTGGCCAGACAGCTTTTGTGTCTCAGGTCTGGCCTAGGAAATGGAATCTTCAGTCTTTAAAGATTCCAAGCTAGAGAGGCACTGGTTTGTATAGGGACAGAAGTCCCTGCCCCTGGTCCCTGATTGATCTGTCCTCATGCAAATGAGGACTGTATCCTCACAATTTAATTATGTTGGTAGGTCTCTTCTTTGTTTATTCGGTTACCAAATCCCACTGTACTCACAATGATCCATTCTAACTGAGAATTCTTAGAGTTCATATGTCTGAGTTTTAAGTCTAACATGTAGGTAAAATGTGAGGATTCATGGTCTTCAAAATTAGTATTAAACAGTTATTAATCAGCATTTTCCATTAACAATTTCTCCAACACAGAAAATATTAAAACAGAAGCCTTGCTGAATGGATCTATTGACCAGCTGATCAGGCAAACTCTTAAAACCAACATAGCCAGACATAGTTGAAAGAACAAATATTTTCCTTTTGCAGAAGCTGAGCAAAGGCAGCTGCGGGCCAATGAAGTAGCAGCTTTCGAGGGGTGTGTCCCAGTGGCAGAGGAAGCCAACGGGGGCCGGAAGGAAGAAATATTTTCTGGTTCAGATGTTGAGCAATTCCGTCAAGCCTTACCGGTAGGTTCATCAGTGTGTTGGAAGATATTTAACCATTCTCTCCATTGTCCACCCCAAACCCCCAAGAAGAAGAGGTGGCAGTGGGGAGGGAGAGAGAGACAGAGAGGGACTGATTTTAAAGGCTGATTTTAAGTTACCAATATGATATCAACTGTATTGCAGAATTTTTGAAAATCTAACAAAATCATGGCTTTCACTAGCTAGTTTGAGGCGACTCCGCTCCACTGCTCTGTTGTACTATGTCAGCTGTTCTTCTCTTTCGGGATTCGGTCAGGGCTGGCTTCATGGGCGTACAGCCTGTGCAGTTGCTGGTGTGAAATCCTTCATAATGTATGAACTTTTGTTTCACACTGAGCTCCACAAATTATGTAGCCAGTCCCCCTGAGAGTACAAGAACCGAGTTTCTGTAGTGCCCAGAAAAGGAAGGGTGGGAGGAAGAGGGAAACATCAGGAGACATTGTGACCTGTTCCTCACAACGTGGTCATCATCCCTGGGAGATATATGACATTCTTCCCTGGGATTTGTTTCTTTCCGGCAGACTTGGGCAGTTCTATTTTCCCAGCCTCTGTCAGCATCAGTGAAGTTAGCTTGGCCTTGGAAATTTTTGGTTTTGTTTTTAATTGTGGTAAAAAACACATAACATAAAATTTATCATCTTAACCATTTTTTCAATGTACAGTTCAGGACTGTTAAGTACATTCACATGGTTACGCCACCAATATCTAGAACTCTTTGTTTTTCAAAACCGAAACTGTATCCACTAAGCAATAGCTGCTCACCCCTGTGCCTCCACCAGCTCCTGATAAACACCATTCTAGTTTCTATGAATTTAACTACTCTATGTACTTCATATAACTGGAATTATACAGTATTTGTCTTTTTGTGACTGGCTTATTTCATTAGTATGATGCCCTCAAGGTTTATCCATGTCAGAATTTTCTTCCTTTTAAAGGCTGAATAATATTCCATTTTGTTTATCCATTCATCAGTTGATGGATACTTGGGCTGCTTCCACCTTTGAACATAGTACAAATGCCTCTTCGAGACCTTGCTTTCAGTCCTTTGGGATATTGACTCAGAGGTGGAATTGATGGATCATAGAGTAATTCTGTGTTTCATTTTTTGGGGAAACACCGTATTGTTTTCCACAGAAGCTGCATTGTTTCTACCAACAATACGTAAACATTCCAATTTTTCCCCATCTTTACTAATGCTTATTTTTCTGGTTTTTGATAGTAACTGTCCAAGTGGGTGTGAGGTGGTATCTCCTTGCGGCTCTGATTTGGACCGCATCAGTGATTAGTGATGGACCAGTGATTAGTGATGTTGGGCATCCTTTCATGTCGTGTTGGCCACTTGTATTTCTTATTTGGAGAAATGGGTTGTGTTCAAATTAGGTAGTTTGTGGGAGTTTTATTTTTAAAAATTATTTTTAATTATTTATTTTTTAATTGACTTCATTGGGGTGATAGAATTTCATCCCTTATTAACCCTTAATTGGTTAATAGAGTTATATAGGTTTCAGTGGTACATTCACACTTTAAAAGAATACAGTTACCTCCTCCACCATCTTTTATTAAAAGATGGAATTTGCCTCATTTTTGATGTGTGCGGTGTTTTCTCATGATTAGATTCAAGTTATGTATTCTGGCTAGAATTTTATGTAAATGATATATATTTCTCAACATTATATCTGAAAGCAATGGTATCCATCTGCTCCTCATTTTTGATGCTAACTTTGATTGTGTGGTCAACATGTTGTCTGATTTGTTCATTATATAGTTAATTTTATAGAATTACTATTTTCCTTGCAATTAATAAACAACTGTTGGGGAGACATTTTAAGGTGAAGCAAATATACTACTTTCTATCAAAAGCGTCCTCTAGATGGAGCATCCACTGATCATTCTTGTGTGATTGAGTATTTACTATGTTGATTGAAAAGCGATGATTCTCAATCTCCTGTATTCTCTCTACACTTACAAGTCAACATTCAACATTATACTACACTAAGCAAGAGCCCCCTTTTCTTTCCTCACAGTTTCTTTTGTCTACTAAACTGAATTCTCCCCTACTCTTTCAAGTATTTCTGTGTGTGCTCAGATACTGATGTGTGTATGACATACATACACACAAACGCACACATGACACTTGGCTCTTTGTCTCTTAGAAAGTCAATAGATTCTAAGGGTTGAGGCTCAGCCTTGGTCTCTAAGTGCTGCTGTCTTGCTGACATTGGATGACTCTGGCCACCGACAGATGAAGATGAAGATTGTTGTCAGGTGCTGGGAGGGCAGGAGGCTTCAGGGGGCAGCACCTAACATTACATATGTTTTCTCACAGACTCTCGGGGTTGGAAGGCGTATCACAAGTTATCTAGGTAACTATGCCCCTCGGCATAAAGTGGGAGATAAAATAACACTCAGAAAATCATCTCATGTTTCGTGTGCACCCATGAGGTTTTCTTATATAAAAGAGCTCTGAGAACCATTGCATTTAATGAGAAAAACCTGTATTTCAAGCAGTGTCCCCTAATTTATTCCAAAAGCAAGTCAATATTTTCAAGTGTGGCATAGGATTTTCTTACTGAACCATCCTAGAGAAAAGGGGAAAGACCAAACATGGCCAGGCAGTGGGTCATTCATTCATTCCTGTCTGACACAAAGACTTGGTGGGTGCCAACAGAGGGTGCAGCATTCTCTGAGAAGGAGAGCCAGGCAGACCTTAAAGCTTGTTCTCCATCCCTGTTCTGGATGATTTTATCAGCACAAGGGAGTAGACAAACCAAGGAAACTTGGGGTCTGGAGATGCTGGGCAGAGCCCACTTCTGCAACTGTGATTCCTCTAATTCCAGGAAATTCGCCCAACTGATTTTAAAGCCATCCAGATAAGCAGGAAATACCCTGCCAGGTCTTCAGATATTGCTAATAGGAACTCCAGATTTTTAAAGAAAGGGAAATGTGGCTTGCAAAAAGAAAGGCCGGAAGTCTTCCAAAGTGAAACTAAACTTCCTTTGAGTTTGTTCCTTCAGAGCTGGGGAATTCTGCTGCTGTGCCACCTGGAGAATGAGGCAATGCACCTTTAGTCTGAGTTGAAGATAAGTTGCCCTCCAGTAGCCAGAAGCCCCGGTGGGCTCAGCAGGGAGGTGTCCTCAGCGAGTTGGAGGTGATTTAAACAGGTCCCTGGTGCTGCTCACCACATAGCCAGTGGCAGGGTCAGCCCCTCCCCAGATCACCTTGGTCTTGTCCCCCCTGGGGCTTCCTGCTGCAGACTAAGGGAGGTGGGTAGAGCGGTTGGGGAGAATGGTGCAGAAAAGCATTTCAGTTTTGAGTTTAATTATCTAGAACATTTAAGTAGGTCCAAAGTAAAAACTATGATAGAGTGTATACAGAGAAGCTGGATTGTCTCCTTGCCCCTCTTCCCCTCCCCCACAGATTACCATTTTAGTTTTCTGATTTACCCTATTTTTAGTTTTTAAAAAAATTTTGAAAAGATTTTTTTTATTTATCTTTAAAGGGGGAGGGAAGGAGAGAGGGAGAGAAATATCAATGTATGGTTGTATCTTGTGCATCCCCTGCTGGGAACTGGCCTGCAACCCAGGCATGTGCCCTGACTGGGAATCGAACCATGATCCTTTGGTTCACAGGCCCGTGCTCAATCCACTGAGCTACACCAGCCAGGGCCCTATTTTTAGTTTAAAAAAAGAAAACCTACCCATATCTCCCCTGTATTCTAAAAGAGGTATCGCACCAAAATACTGTTCTTCACCTTACTTCCTTCATATAAGAGTATCTGCTGGGGAAGTTAATAGGGATGCCTTCTGCATCCTACACTCACTGTGTGGTTTTCCATAGTTTCAACCACTCCCTGTTGGCAGACATTAGAGTTACTTCTAGTGGTTAGTATCATGACAATATCTTCGTGCATGTGTCATATCATATTCCTGCCACTGTGCCATTGGGAACATTCCCCTTTGGAAGAAGGGAGTTGATTCTCTTCTTGTCACCTGCCAGTGACCTTTTCTATGGCTGGGGATTAGGTATCTTTCCTTCTTTGCATCAAGTCAACTTTCTTTTTAACAGTTTACTTTTTAGGTTTATTATAAGGGATACAACTCAAGACCATCCTACATGAAAGAGATCCGTAGGGCAAGATGCGAGAGTGAGAAGGAGCAGGGAGCTCCCATACCTTCTAGGGCAGGTCACGTCAGCGGATTCACCAACCCACCAGATTTTCAACTCTCCTCCTAACTCTGTGAATTTCTCGAATTTTACGCCTATCCTGTTTCCTCAACAGGAGGGGCCCTGGCAAGGTGAACCTGCAAGGAGTAATGGTAGATGTTCCTAACACAATTTTTATAACTTGGGTCACTATGACAGAAATAGATATATTTGATAACGAGTTATTCAAGGTGACATGGGAGACAGGTTACAAGTTAGTGAAGAATTCATTTCTTATCTCGATTCAGAGCAAGCTACTGAAGGCCTGTATTATACCAGGCTTTTCTATGGGAAGATGGAGAGATGGTTTCTACTCTGAAAGCCTAGCATAGCAGCTTCTGGGGAATAGAGGCAACCCTTCCGAATTCGGGTGCTCCCTGCAGAGAGGGAAAGAGAGGGAAGGAATCCCTGGCAGGGCTGAAGCCCCAGGCCAGCAGCGAAGAGGGGAAGAGGGCGTGTTGAGCCGGAGAGAATACCTGCTGTGGTGTGGCTCCACATGCTGCTTGGAGACGGGGGAGGCCGGAGGGAAGGACTTGGCGAGGGTGTGTTTACTTTCCTGAATCCTTGCCCAGAAACAACCTCAGGGAAATATTTCAGAATCCGCCATCGGGCCGACCTGCTTATAGACAAGCAGGTTTTGGGTGTTGTCTCTCTGTGATGTGTAAAGTTTAACAGATCTAATTCCTCATTTTTTTCTGCAGACTTAAATTTCAGAGTGCAACACACTCCACTTTCCTGGGAATTTCTCTCTCTCTCTTTTTTTTCTTTTGCTTGACTGGGAGGTTACATGAGACGACCGCTGTAGAGCACTTGCCCAGCACCAGGCATCGTTCTAAGAGTTTTCTAGGGCTTATCTCTTTTAATCCTCCTGTCATCTGGACACAGTTACCACTGTTATTGTCACTTAGTAACGAGGAAACCAAGACCCAACAAGTCTAGCCTTTTGCTCTAGTCATATGGTTAGAAAGGAGTGGAGCTGGGATTTGAACCCAGAAGTCTGACTCCAGAGCTTGCGCTCTAAAGACCTGGCCGTATTATTGGGCAGCTATAGGAGCTTAGGCAGCGCCTTCACTTCCTTGAAAAATAAACAAGTTCTTTTCGGTTTTGCAATTCTGCAGTTTCAAAGTTTGGGCCTGGCTTCCCTGGAGTGTTACCTTCTTCCAAGGTGAAGAGGAATGTGTAGGTGCTCTGGTCCTTTTTGGTGTGTTTTCAGCTCTGCGGGATGCTGGACTCGCTCAGCCTGAGCTCAGCACCTAGGACTGATCCTTAACCAGAGTTAATCACTAACTCAGGCCTCAGAGATGCAGGCAGAGTTTGCTGGATTCTACTGAAAACTGTCTGGTGGGAGAAGAAAAGCTTCAGGAGAAATTTCCTTGTTACTGTCATGTGACAAATAGGTCATTGGCTTCCTATTTATGATGGATTCTTATTCAGAGGAATCAGGGAGTTTGCAGAAACCCTTCAAAGCACTGCAATCCTCAGCTAATGCCAAAAGCATGACTAAGTAATCCCAGGGCTATGGACTGATTTTTGTCCTTCCCAGATTGGGTCTCTGGGTTTTTTATTCCCTCTTTCTTCTTCTTGTATCTGGCCAGCCTCTCTGTAGCCAGTGACAGGTAAATGCTGATTCCACCTAATAACCAATGCTGATAACCAATCTTTCCTCCATGTGAGGTTGACTCTCAACGCATCCTGGGTAAGGCCATCTAAGTGTTTGGGGAAAGATATTTGAAGAATCTGAGTGCTTCTCTTTCTAGGTGACAGAGTAACCCTGGTCTCCATGGAGATGTAGGGACCATCTGTTTACATCCTAACTTCTGAAACCAGCACAGCAGTCTGGGCAGTTTCTTCAGGGCATCTCTAGCTGGGGTTCAGCCGTTAATGACTTTGAGGGCTCAGAGTTCTTTGTGTCTGTCTTGGTTCTTCTTCCGCTCTCTGTGGTTATCTCTGTCTTTCCCACCTTTTTTTTTTTTTTATAACCATCAGAGTGGTTATAAAAAACCTTTGGGCTACGGGCTATGGGCCATGGAGGGGATGCTATTCCCCTTTAATTATTTCAAGAAAGAGAAATTTCTCTTGTATTGGCTGATGCCACTTCTTTTCTGCTTGGATTCAAGAGGTACCATGTTTTCAGATCATTCTAGCCACACAGAGGCCCTGCTGAAGTCAACCCAGATCATCTGTAATCATATGCTGTTTACAATAGCCTTCCGAAATAACTGCATATATTTTACAATTCTCATTGTCATCTCTACCAAAGGGATTTCTCTGGTTTTGGAGGAATCGAATCACTCTGAATTCTACTATCTAACAAAAAAATTATCATTTGATAGTTTCATCATCTTGGTAGATGAAACTATCTATGAAAACTTATGGTTTCTTCACCTTGCTAATCCAAAAAGGAAGACACTTTTGCATAAACCCTGGGTTTTCCAAAGTTAAAGTACATCGTCTGTTATTTAACACTAAGAACTGACATTCTGCAATTGAATGAGGTGAAGTCTGATTTTTAACCAGGGGCTGTCAATTGATTAATTACAGACCAGGGCCAGGATCTTAAGAATTCTCTGATCAGTTAGGTGGTTGGTTAGAAACATTAAACTCTTAAAGGGAGGATTCCCTAATAAGTGGCTTTATCTCTTCTTCCAAGGAGAAAGCTGTGTATAAGATGGATCGTAAACGTAGAGGCCAGTGTGTTGTTATCAACAACCAGAAGTTCACTTCCCTGAAAGAAAGACGAGGGACCCAAAAAGATGCTGGTAAGAAAGGCCTCAAGAGTATGACAAATGCAAGTTAGGGATCTTAAAATAAATTTTTATTTCATATTTTCTTTTGGTAATTTTTATCTTCCATTCAATGTAAGGATGATATTTTAAATGTTTCTAAGCCCTGGTGTTTTAGTCCATCCAGGCTGCCATATCAAACTACCGAGACTGGGTGGCTTATAAACGAGAAACACTTATTTCTCACAGTTCTGAAGGCTGGGAAGTCTAAGATCAAGACTCTGGTGTTCCAGTGTCTGGTGAGAGTGGGCTTCCTACATGGCTACCTTCTCGCTGCTCTAACCTTACTTGGCAGAAGAGGCAAGAGAGTTCTTTGGGGTCTCTTTACACATTCATTCCTCATGGCCTAAGCATCTTCCAAAGGCCCCACTTTCTAATACCCTTGCTTTGAGGGTTTGGATTTCAACACATGAATTTGGGGGAGACACACACTTTGGGACCACAGCACCTAGGGCGTCACCAAGCAGCTTAAGGAGTGAAAAGAACCCCTGACCATTTACGATTCTGTGGTCTGGGGACGAGCATGCTGGGTCAGTATGAGAAAACCTTCATTTGAGCTCTGGCTCCACCGCTAACTGGGTTTGTGATCGAGGGACCTCTGCCCCCTCATCCATGATATAGAATGAAGTGTGGCTTCTGTGGACCCTCAGGACCATTGTGATAGCTCTGTGGGCACTATAAAAAGTCAGGTTACTTATAAAATTTTATTGTCAGGAAAGTAAAAAAAAAAATCCCAAAGCTTCAAGCTATTTGCTGTGCAAGTTTTATAACTATTAGTATTGTTTAACTAATTCATTTTTATTTCATTTCAGTCACTTTTATTTCATTCCATTCTTTTCTTTCTCTCTCTCTCTCTTTTTGACAGACTGCCTGAAGCGTGTGTTTCAGTGGCTTGGGTTCTCCGTAGATATACATGTTGATGTGACTAAATCACAACTGGAGGAGCTTCTGAAAATGTATCAGAATCATTCAGGCCATGCTGAAGGAGACTGCTTTGTGTTCTGTGTTCTGACCCATGGGAAATATGGAGCTGTCTACTCTTCAGATGAGGTCCTCATTCCCATTAGAGAGATCATGTCGCACTTCACAGCCCATCAGTGCCCTGCTCTGGCTAGCAAACCCAAACTCTTTTTCATCCAGGCCTGTCAAGGTGAAGAGATACAATCTTCTGTATGCATTGAGGTAGATGCTGTAGATCCCAACTCAACACACCCTCCCCTTCAGGACAGTGTTCCTGTTGAGGCGGATTTCCTTCTCGGTCTGGCCACTGTCCCTGGCTATGTGTCCTTTCGTCATACCACAGAAGGCAGCTGGTATATTCAATCTCTGTGCAATTATTTGAAGGACTGGGTCCCAAGGTAAGAGTTTCACATTGTTCTATTCACCTACCTGTTTATCCATCCATCTATCCACCTTCTTGTTCATCCATCTGTCTTTCTACATACCCGTGCGTACATTCATGCATCCACCCATCCATCCATCATAACATCCGTCCATCCATTCATCCATCCAAGCTCTATTGAACACCAATATACAACTGGAAAGGAAGGTATGGAATAAAAAAAAAAAGACACAGTCCCAGCCCTCAAGTTGCTCACAATCTAGATGGACAGACAAGTAGGTGGGAAGAGCATCCCCCAGTGGTAAATACATATTGTAAAGCACGGTGTTATGGGAACACATAGAACTAGTACCTCAACCAGATTTGGAGGATCAGGGGAAACTTCTAATTGGGGTAAAAGACATGTTAAGCAGAGGAACAGTATGAATAAAAGCATGGGGGTTTTATTTGTTCCTTCCACTATTCATTTATCAGTCACTCAAATTTACTGAGTGCTTATGTGCTGCTTCAGACCATATTCTTGGATTCTTGCCTCTGCTCTGACAACTTTCATCTTGTCTCTGCTACATGCTTCTTACCTGGTAATCCTGGAAGTGGGGCCTCCTTCTCTGCTGTCTCTCGGTAGCCTCTCTTGGCTGTTTTAGCTGTACTTGGAGGCCACTGGAACCTCCTTAAAAATGTCTCCCAAATTACCATCTTTGAGTTTCTGGAGGGGTAACCTCATTCAATTTTATATCCTGAGTGCCTGGCATAGTATCTGATACATTGTTGAGCTTGATCACTATTTGCTGAACCAATGAATGACTGATCAAGTCAACCTCGCTCTTAAGATCAGTCTTGCACATTTTTTCATAGCCTGCCAGATGTCCTACTTTTGTGTTGCCCTTGGACCTTACAACCCAAAGAATAGGCCTGAATTCATCTTCTCAGTCCTCTCTAGGAGCTTCTACTCCTGAGTCCCATTTCTAGAAATAGCCACAATGCTCTTCAGGGAATTTAAGACAGGAAATCAGAATTGGAGCCTTGAATTACCTAAGCTTTCCCCTCTTCTTTACCAACCTCTACATCCCCACCAAAACCATCAGAGGCCAATGTCCTATGGCTTCAAGGGGATACTGTGTGTCTGCTATACTGGGTACTGAGCCAGAGACTAGAGGGACAGCTACTGTTAACACGAGAGACAAAAATCTCTTCTCCGTGGAGCTTACAGTCCAGTGAGGGGAAGACATATAATAAAAATATAAGTGAGGAATATTTACATTAAGATAATTTCAGGCAGTGATACCTGCTATGAATAAAGCAAAACAGGATAATGATATAGAGAGTGGGGGCAAGGAGCTACTTGAGAAGACTTCTTGATAGAGGTGATAGTTCAAGTGTGACTGAATGCTGAGAAGGAGGAGTGAGCCGCAGGAAGATTTCGGGACAGAGATAACAGCTAGTGTGAAGCAGGATAGAAGGATTAAGAACCAGGCGGGGCCTGCATTCTCATCTGAAAAATAACAATGATGATGAGAAGGAGTAGTGATAATAGTTTGGCCAAAAAGTCCATATGGTTTTTTTCCATAAAATAGAGTACACATTTTTTCATTTTCACCAATAACTTGGTTGATTTGGATATTATGAGTATGTCAACTATCTCCCAAGTGGTACGATGTTGATCGTTCCCAATTAATGTTTCAATTTTATCCTACTGACTTCAACTGGGCCACCCAACCACGGTGCATCATCCAGCGAGAAACTGCCAGCCGTGAAACTTCCCAAACTACTTTTGATATGTTTGATCAGTCATAGCACCTTCTCTATACACTGCACAAGTCGGTTTTTTTTTTTTTTTGCATTTGAGTTTTTACCTTTCTTGAAATAATAATGCATAATATCCTGAAAATGTTGTGTGTTTTCTTCCATCTTCAATATTAAAATGGCTCCCCCAACATTCACCAATTTTGATTTTTTAAAAAATTCACACTGATATGACAGCTGTCACAATACAGTCTAACAAAATGGTTTCAAATGAAGTCAAAGACAACTAACCACTATCAGAACCAGCTTATGGAAAACCAAATGAACTTTTTGGCGAAATCAGTACTACTACTAACACTAAAAATGATGGTCAGTGGAGTATTGTAGCCGGGGTTCTAAATGCTTTACATAAATTGCCTCATTTAATCTCATGGCCATCCCTAAAGTAAGTATTATTATGGTGTTCATATTAGAGCTGAGAAAACTGAAGCATAGTGAAGTAGTGACCTGCCTAAGACCGCATCATCAGTAAGAGAGAGAGCCATGATTCAAACTTAAGTCTATCTCAAGGGCCTTTGCTTTTCTTCCAATACTATGTATTGCCCACCCCTGGAACATTCATTCTAGTAAGTACTACACATCCTGCAAGGCCAGGTTCGAATGTCATCCCCTTTATGGAGCCTTTTTTGCTCCAAGCCACAAATTCTGTTTTTCTCCTTTGAACTTTCGATGGAACTTTAGCCTTCTTTTCATAAGGCATTGATCACATTCTGCCTTGTATTATGAATTTCGTGTGTATGCTATTCTTGGTACATGTTTTATGTCTGCATTTTAAGTGTTTAAGATTGGGAATCATATCATATTTATCTTTGTATCCCTCCCCAAACCAAGAATAGAGAGGATATTATTAACAGTAGGGCTCTCTTTCTCTATCCCCATCAACTGCCTATCTTATCTATCTATCTACCTACCTATCTATCATCTACCAGTTTGAAGGAAGAACATGGAGAAATAACTATATGTAAATTTCCTTTGTGGGCTAAATACATTAAAAGGCAAGGTATAATTATTACAATATTCTTACATGCTGAATGTAAAATTGAAAATTTTATGTTATTTAGCATTTGTTTTTTAATTTCAGAAGTATTTCTTTATATTTGGCAAGATTCCAGTTAGAATCTGGGCATGCAAGGCTAGGAAGAAGAAAGCTGTTTTAGGGTCTTATTTCTAAGATCTGGTACCTGATTTCTGTCTCCTGACTGAAAATATATTTTCTTCTCTGCCTGTAGACATCAAGATATCTTATCCATCCTCACTGCTGTCAATGATGATGTGAGTCGACGAGGAGGAACAAAGAAACAGATGCCTCAACCAGTTTTCACACTACGTAAAAAAGTTATATTCCCTGTGCCACAGGAAGAACTTTTATTATGGTAGAGAGTTTTCATTGACTCTTAGACTTGAAAGGAACTTTCTCTTCCAACTTCCAACCGAGCTTAGGAAATCATTGATAGATAGTGAGCTGGCCTCCAGTCTGTCTGTCAGTCTAGTAATAAGAAATGCTCTATTTTCTGATGCAGTAAATTCTATTCTTTCTTTTCCCCTTTCTAAACAAGTTGAAATATTACAAAAGTTTTTTTTATCGATACCTTGGATTATAGTCTTGATTTTAGCTGTGCACCCTCAGAAAAAAATAATTGGCCTTGGTTTGTGTATCTGTAAAGTGAAAAGTGGGGCCAAGAACATTTTAAGGTTCCTTTTCACTCTAAGAACCAATGTTCTTAGATTCCTCCTCCAAATGACCACTCCTTGTTATAATTCTGTGTCCCCTCTGCATGGCCTTTTTTGGGCACTGGCTGGTGATAAGATCATGGTTTCCTGACCCTACCTCTGCTCCTCCCTTCCCGAGGCTTCCCTTCTGCACATCTACTGGGGGAGGGGAAATTTGGTTTATGCCCTGCTCATTTCCTGCTTTAGTGTTAGGGCAGGTGTTCCTGCAGGAACCGGTTTTCTTGGGTTGGGGACTGGGTTGGCTCTAGGAAGATGACAACTCTGTGTAAAGAGAGACACACATTCAGCTACTCTGGGAGCAGAAACTTTACAATCTGACATTACTTCCCTGTTGGTCAAAACCTTTTAGACACTGGGGACAGACCTCTCAACTCAAACTGACTAAAGCAAAGAATAGATTGCGTCTTTCACTGGAAAACAAGAATGCGTAGTGCTGGCTTCCAGCACAGCATGAATCAGGACTTAGTCTTCAGTACATCATCTGTCTCTTGGCCAAGGGCCCACAGGATTGGCAGCTGCACTGTGCTGACTGCAGTCAACAGCCACCTCCCACCTCACCCAGCTGCCCCCATCACAACACATACTGCTTCCTCTAGCCCCAAGGCTGAGAGAAGCAGCTTGAGGGATTGAAGCTGTTCACAGGGAGTGTTGCTCTCTCCTTAGCCAGAGAGGTGTCTGGCTATGCCTTGTGGGTAGGGTGGCTCTCGATGGAAGCCTTGACACTTAAAATTTAGGTTTTGAACATTTTTACATATGAGAACTCTTTTTTTCAATTTCAGAAGGATTTTTTTTCCTGGAAAGAGGGCAATTGAAAGTGGGGTGGTTAAGGCCTTCATTTATAGATGAAGAAGTTGAGGGCCCAGGAGGCAGGGCAATGGCTACAGCCTTTCAGCCAGCTATTGTCTACCTGATATTGTTTCCCATGTAAGTGAACTGGACTGCTGTGGGGCATAATGGGGCTTAGGAACATGTCCTTGGATGTGCAGATGTTCACAAAGATGTCAGGGAATGAAGAAAACTCTTGGTGATGTCTGATTTTGTAAATTATTTTTGTAAACGTCAAGTTCACTTATGGTGAACTTTCTATGAAAAATAGTCATAAGAACCTTGTTATAATGTAGCTAGTAGTCACATGTATTTAAATGCGGATTGGCAAAGGAAATGAATCTAATACATAGATCAGGATGCTCTTCCCAAACTATTGTTTGTGTAAGCCAAAGCTAGCAGCTGCTGGTTATAGTCTTTGTTCCACTGGATTTGCCCAGCTGTTGGCCTCTGTGCAGACTGCTGTGCAAGGGAAGCATGGTGTGGTGCAAAGGAAAGAGCAAAGCATCTGCAGATGGAAGCCTTGAGTTTCCATGTTGCCCTGTGACTCCTTTGCTCAAAGACAATAACTCAAACTTGTGTTTTTGAGCCTTATATATGAAGTAGAGAAAATATTATCTGTTGAGAAAAGTAAGGATTATATATGTACACAAAGTTGGGCAAAAGTAGGTTTACAGTTGTGAGTATGCGAAACAGTTTACTCTTGTATCACTACTTATGAATTGTATTGTTTTCCATGAACATCTGTAAACCTATTTTTGACCCATTCTATATATGTTTTTAGATTTAATGGATATCTAGAGATATCTACTTAGATATAGATAGCTAAACAGATATAACTATATATGTATATACATTTAAATTTAACTGTGGTGCCGTGCATGTAGGCCTTTAGATGGCAGAGTCTTTTGGTAGTAACCTAAATGGACATAGCAGAGTTTGAGTTCTTTAACATCTGATTCCAGCTGACTTTTAGCTGCAAACGGACACTAGCAATACCTACTGCCATCCTGCGAGTGAAGAGCTGACTCTTCCCTCACTGGTTCCCAATGTCTCCAGCAGCAACAGGCCAGCTCCTGGCTCTGAGTCCAGATGGAAAAAAGCACTGCTGATGAACTCTCCTTCATCAGGAACACTTGGGGTTCGATGTTTGAGTCCTGGGCCCGAGGTTTCTCTCATATTCCTGTTTTGCTGGATCTTAGCACATGTGCGAGATTAAATTCTAGAATCACAGTGCTCCATGAACTTTCTTTTCTGAGGCCTCTGGCCAGCACTTAGGAGTGAGCAGGCCTTTATACCTGTGGGTCATAGGTGTGTATACAAACACCAGGAGTGAAGTTGTTCTTGGTCCATTTTTCTTCAGGGGAGCATGTACACTCTTGTCCCGTGTGTGTGTGTGTGTGTGTGTGTGTAAATTTAGAGTCCAGGAACAACAGGAGGTGACTTGGTCACATCTATTTGGCTATAGCCATTGTCTGTCCAGACTTTTATGAAGGAAATGTGCTATGTGATGTTTTTTGTATATTTTGTCTAATTTTGCTCAACCTATAAAAGGTATAGTTATTTTTTCTTTCCCTTCTTTCTTCCTCAAAAGTTTAGCTTCTATAAAACAAAATAAGATACAAGAACATTTGGTAGAGTGTTATGCAAATGTTAGTTATTTAATAATGGTGCTATGGTTATTTATTATTATTGGAGCTATTAGTCACTACAACAATTTACTGGCCTCTGCTTTGGGGACTTACCTTGATGATGAGCAGGTTTGATATCAGGGGGATGCCCCTTAGCAATACATTATATTCTGCCAAGGCTCAGGTAATTCAATCATATAAGCAACTGGTGCGCTGTGGATGCTGACCAATCAGAATAGACACTGACCAGTATAACACAATGGTAAATGCTGCTGAATAACAGCCTTTATCAGTGATCAAGTATCCACTGAGGTCAACCCAACTAGAAGTTTAGCTCATTTTCTAGATAACTTTTGCACCGTATCTAACTCACAAAGTCTTCCAGGTCAGATACTTTCTGAGTGATCTAGTCAAGTTGTTCTTAACATGGATTTAATTCGTGGGCCCAGAGGAGTTTGTGGCTTTATTCTCATGGTCTTTGAGCTTCCACCTTCACTTTTAAATGTTGTAATTCCTTTTGGGTGTTATCTTTAAAGTCAGTAGAACTGCGTCCTGGCTTTTCTGTTATGACCACTTTATACTTGAGCTCTGCCACAGTCTCTTGTGCTCACATCCTGGTGTCCACAGAAAGTGAGGAACTTTACATTGAACTTTCAAAAAGTTAAATGGAATGACATTGGTTAGTAAGACTACATAGGTTTCACGTGAACATTTTTGTGATACATGATCTGTATGTTGCATTGTGTGCCTGTACGTTGAACTTCTTAATGTAGCGTGGGTGAGGGCCTATGGCTGGGGTTCCTCAGGTTTATTGTCAGGTGCCGGTGGTTCATTTATTTGAAACCTGCTCCAATCCATCCTCTCACCTATGACAGGGTTGCAAATCTTCCATTATCCTCCACCTCTGCCTGACTCTTCCAGCATGAAGGGAACTCAAACCACATGCACAGTCTTGGATCTGGGAGCTTAAAACCCTAGAGACTCTGTGGTCCAGCCTTCAGAGTGTTAAGTGACTTGCTGAATTCTCACAGCTGTTAGTGGAGGATTTGCAATCCTGCGTGTCTGCTGCTTTGGAAACTGCCTCCTGGTTTCACGCCTGGACAGCTTTAATTGTCCTTTTCTCTATTGGGTTTGAATCCACCTCCTTAGAATGTGCTTAACACCACTGGTTCTCATTCTAAACTCTCAAGCCATATCAAACAGGTGTAATTATCCTCTGGGAAGGTATAGAGGGTCTGGCAGAAGTAAGGCCTTCTTGAGGGTGGTTGGTAGGGTAATAATAATATGGGCGTAATGATTTATAGTTTTAATTTGGACATTTCATCTAAAACATCATATGGTGTGCTTGAGTGTGATATTATTATGTTACAGAATTACATGCTTATGGTTTTGTGCTAAAAGATTTTATAATAAAAAATGGGCATTATCTGTGCCAGACCCTGTATATTGTGAAAAGTTATTTAACTTTCTTTCTGGGAGAGTATGGGTTTTCAAAGTCTGCAGTTGTTTTTCAAAGTTGTGTTAAGAATATAGTGACACATTTGTAACTTAGAACAGGAACTAATTTTTTTTTTGCAAATGAGAACTCTTTTTAAATAGTACTAGGGGAAAGTCCCTGTTTAGAGAAAGATTCATTTGTCGATACAAACAATCATTTCTTAACATAATTTTGCAAATAGGATTTATTAAAAGAGTTTTTCTATTAAAAATTTAAAATTGTATTCTTAATTTTTTAACTTATTTTGAACGGGTAATATCTTTACATTGTGCACACATAAGAAAATATAAAAAGGTGCCCAAGAAAAGCCTCACCTCCAGTTCTGTCTGTGTTCTGTCTGTCTGGGTACTGTGTGCCCGGTCCTCCTGCCTCCTCATCTCGTAAATAATGGATAGGTTTCTTAATGCAAGTATGACAAATACAAATATGTATGTATTTTAAAACATATGGCTTGAAGCAAAGTACGTACACTGTGAAACTCACATTTCTCAGTTGGTCTCATTTGAAGTGATTCTATGCAAGATGCTTAGGAATACTTGTACAATTCTGGAACAGTAATAACTTTATAAGCTCGTGGACTAATCCTTGTAAATAGTAGTATTTGACTTACAAATAAATAAAGTGATCTTTTCCTATTTTTCTTTGACTAATAACTTTGGTTTTACTTAATAACTTTTTTCCTGCCTACAATGTATGCTCATTGTGGAGTATTGGGGAAATACAAGAACACATAAAGAAAAAAGTTAATTAGTTTATAATTCTGTTTTTATACACACTTTGCCATT